TACTTGGCAAGAAGTCAGGAACAGAACTTCACTCTAATGGATTGAACTAATTGTCTCCTGCAAACTCCCCTCCCCTTTTGCTCTCATTTATTTGCTATGGGAGGGGCCATTCACTTTCCACCTGTGGCTTTACTCCTGAGTCAACCCTTGTTCCTTAGCTGTTCTCTTATCCTGGCAGCTCTGCACATGCGCACACAGGGAACAGGCTCCAGCTGTACTTCTGCTCATGTGGTCTGACTCTGAAGGCAGCTGATAACTGTCAGATAACCCTGGCCCTATCTCTGCCTCAGATGCAGAGCCCTCATCAAAGTCTTCCTCAGACTCCAGGACTTGCCCATGTTCCTCCCTAAAATTTCCTTCCTAAATGAAATTTATCTTTATGTGTAGGTTGGTAAGTTTCCATCCATTGCTTCTTGTCCTGCCTTCGGGTACTTTGGAGAATAGGTTCACCCTCCCCCCTTTTTTGGGGGGGAATCCCTCAGATATTGAAACATTGTTATCATGTCACTTTAGTCCTTCTCTTCATTAGATTAGACATACCTAGTTCCTGCAGCAGTTCTTCATAGGTTTAAGCCTCCAGGCCTCTAATCACCTTTTGTTGCTCTTCTGTGGATTCTTTCTAGGTTCTCAACCTCTTTTCTGTATTGTGACACCTGTATTAATGGCTTTCTGCTGTGCTATATATTACCATGAGTAAATATATTGAACACTTCCAAAGTGAGCATAATCTCTTTGGGACAGTATATTAGTTGATATCTGAAAGAACTTATCCAGAATTATTTATAGTACATGGGTTGCACATTCCACAACTAGTCCCTGTAAAAACATACATAGAAATGCAGAATGGTAAATTCATAATGAAGTACATAGGAAGAGAACAAAAAATGTTCTGAATGGCTTACATGTGCCCATATTAGTGACAGTGCTAACCCAAACTCAAATATCAGCACTATTTTCAAGTACAGCTTCTAGGCACCATGTTCAGTCTTATTATTTTAATGATAATTGGGGTTCCCCGATCCTCACTTGGCTTCATCCCTCTTAGGCCAACTGTTTTAGTAACAGCTTGCCTACAATATGTCCTTTAACTAATGATAGTGAAGCTAACCAAGGGAAATGTTACTGTGGTGCCACTTATGTAATGAGGCCAAAGTAAACACCATCACATAAAGAATTAGCAGATGTTCTGTATGCATGCTTTAAACTGATTTTCAATCATTTAAAGCTTTACAGTACATTTATTTCCATCCTATTTCTTCAAAGATGTATATTATCAGGTAAAGTAAAATAAAATCTGCTGAATTTTATTCTTCCAATGTTCATGTATTTAACTACTTATAGTTTTTTTAAAGTTAACATTGGAATTCAATCAACTTGAAAATAGATCTCAAGTTTAGCTATTTTTTTAAGTATTTTAAAAATAAAGATATGCAGAGTTGTTCAAAAACTGGTTTTTGGTTGTACAAATATTATTATTTTTTCCTTAGGATTATCACTGGCAGCATAGCCAATAATTCTTGATAATTCATAAATGTACAAATATCTGAAAAACATTACATTCAGGCTTTGCATGCTTCCAAAATTAACCATAATGGTGCAGTGGTTAGAATGCAGTACTTCAGGTTAACTCATTGCTCACTCTAGGAGTTCAATTCTGATTGGCTCAAGATTGATTCAGCCTTCCATTCTTCTAATATCGGTAAAATGAGGATGCAGATTGTTGAGGACAATATGCTGACTCTTTAAACAGCTCAAAGAATGCTATAAAGCACTGTGGAGTGGTATAAAAGTCTAAATGCTACTGCTATTGAGAATGCTTTCAGACTTTGTGCAAGCAAGGAATCATACTGGTATGCACTGAAACAGTGTCCTGGTAAACCTGGAAAACAAACATTATTGCTTTAAGAAAATCAATTCATTAATGTTCATAATATGATTCTTAAAGCAACAACACTTTTTTTTTCAATCGCAAGAGGAGCTTGAAAAACGATGGGCTGCTCTGATTTACTAACATGAAAAGAGAAAATATAAGATTGTTGAGAAATTAATAATTGAACACAAGCTGTACTGATCTGGACCAGATAATAACATCCATTCCTAATCTGAATTAATCACTGCTGAATTACCACTAATTTACTCAATAATTAATCTTTAAAAATCTATTTTATATTGAAATGGGCACTTAGAAATTATTTTAACTGTTTTAATTGGTTTTAATGGTAGAATTATTGATCATTTAGTTTTTGTTTTAATCGTGTGAGCCTCCCAAAATCACATGAAGTGAGACAGACAGCTATATTACATAAATAAATAAATTTGCATTACAGTAGTCAAAGATGCTGTGATAAAGCTAAATCACAGCATTTAATACACTGGGAGGCCTTATATAATTAACATTTACATTCAGAATGATAAAACCTAGAGAAAATGTAAGTAAAACATAAGATTATATTTTTTGTAATTGTCTTCATGTATTGCTATTTTCATTATTAACTACAGCTGTTTTAATAAGCTTATTGTTTCTCTCAAAACATAGACTTTGGAAGAAGATATACCCCAAAGTGATATGTGTTACAATTTAATATAATTTTTAGATAGTTAGGTAATTTAAGGATAAGATTCCCAAATGTAACTGCTATATGCACAGCAATTATGTAAATTATAATTACACATATAATATATCTACAAGATCTGTAAGACTGTCCCACAGAGAGAAAATTTGTCTTATTGACAGTAGTTATCTACATTTAGGTTAGCTTAAAGAGAAACCAAAGAAAATATGTGACACAACTTTTACACAAATGCATATTGTTGTTTTATGTTAAGCACAGCAGTGCTTTCAATATTGTTGGTAATTGATTTCTAAAAGAGGCAAGAAAACCTGAGAATATTTCCAAGATCTTGGAATTAGATTACAAAGATCTTTGTCAAGCCAGAAAATACTTTTGTCTCTAAGGAAGACAAATGGTCAATATAGTATTAGTAAATTCAATTCCACGCATAATTTCTAAATACAGCAATGAATTTGGAGCCAAGGAATATGCAGAAACAATAGATTTAGGGTTTAGTGTATTTTTCTATTATTATCATTCTCCATTTTTATGGCAAATTTTGCACATGTCATAACATAAACAATTTCCATATTTATAGAATGTATACATTTCTTATGATGGCAAAATTAAAAATGTTTCCAATATCAGTGCTACTGCTAATAAACTGCATAGAAAAGTGATAATTATTGTACATTTACAAAAATGGCCTTGATGAATCTGTTAAATTGTCAGAAGTTATTATACATGGCTATCTATTAGCAATCAAGTTCAATATGAAATTTTACTAGATTATTTGCTTGCAATGTTTTTAATATGAAACACAATGCTCTTTTCTTAACTAATTGCACAAATTTTACATGCTAACCTAGGAATATCTACATAGTATGGTCAAAATAGTCAACAGAGTCGGTATAATATAGTGATGAAGAGGCTGACATAAAAACTAGGAGACTGTAAGTTCTAGTCCCACCTTGGGCATGAAAGCTAGCCTGGTGACTGGTTTTGGATTACTCACTATCTCTGAGCCAAGCCCTCTTTATGGGTAAACCCTTAATCATGCCCTATAGACATACCTGTTAAGCATAGCTCATAAAGTAGACTTTTAAAAATCTCTTATTTTAATCTTTCTGTAACAAACAGTATTAATGGGTTATTGGATTGTACTTCTTATGTATGTGTTTGCTTTGCAAGTTGTATATTGGCTATGTACAAAGTTTCATCATTCTACATAAAATATGATGTCTGGAAAAACAATGTTTTCATATAGTCTGAAATATACTTTTGCTGGGTCATTCTTTAACACAGTGATGTTAATGCTCAAGCTTTGCTGATTTATTCCCTTCTGTTTCCTAAAACGTTGAAATGAAAAAGGCCTTCACAGCCCCATCATACATGGTTACCCAACAAGTGAGTTTTGAAAGAACTGCAGCAAAAAAAAAAAAAAAAGGCAATGGCAAAGTCCAATATTGAAAAAATTTCTATAAGCTCTAATGTTATTTTGTTCTTGCTGATTAATATCATTTTGATTATTTTAGTCAGTTTCATTTTATGGCCAAGAGGCTGCTATGGAGCCACACAAGCAGCCACATGAAATAGATGATGCCTGAACTACAAAAATATCAAGAGAAAGACCAAAAACATTGACTACCCTTTTATTGATGTACAGGGGAAAAAAATAGAGTGGACTTTGGAAATACAAACAAGAAAACAGCATCCAGATCAGCACTTGATAGCTTAATGTAATATAGTTATGCTAATCTTTAAAAGCTAAAACACAGAGAAGAGACAACAGTGAACTCCTAATTAATTTATGTCAGTAGAAGTCAATAAAAAAAAGACCAAACAGACCATTTCAACATAGTCAAGTATAATTCAAAGCATGATTTTGATAGGAAAACAATTTACAATCAAGACTAGATTCCAGAATGTCTGTAATCAAATCTAGAGTACTTTGCTGTGGTTTTTTTTTTAAAGAAGAGATTTAGTTGTCAATTTGAAGTACTTACCATACGTAGGTTGTAGGAATTGTTAATTTGGTAGCAAAAACAAGATTATGGTCTCTAAACTCCAGAAATAAAACCTAATTGTAACCATTCTTCTTCTGTGCTATGCAATTATACAAGTTGGAGGTCACCAAGATCAAATATTTATTAAAGAGTAGATATATTTTTTGCTTCATGTGCAACATTATGAGTTCTCTTTCACTATTATATCCAAGATTTCCTCTCCATTTAATTCAGTTCTTTCACAAACAAGGAAATGTCAGGCATTTCTAACTGAATGAGAGATGTTACTTAAGATTTTCTATTTCAGCTACCACTACCTCTTCAAACCCCTATTCATTAAACATCAATCTTCTGATGAGAAGAATTTTCTTGTTACCGTGACTGTCTTTCTGTCTTAAATGATGGGTGGGAAATAGTTGCATTCAAAAATAAGGATTCTTACCTGCTTTTCTGACAACATCAGCAGTAGTAATACCAAGAGCATTTGGGTGCACTTTGAAGGTCACAGCTGGCCCCAATATGCTACAAAAAGGGAATTAAAGCAAAAAATTGGTAACCAAAAGAGATGAAAATCTATATGTGTCCAAGGATAATCTTTTAGTTTCCTTTCTAAGGTACAGAACTAAAATTTGTAAATCATTTTTAACTCACTCGCTAAAATTAGGATGTGTAACTTCATTACAAATGGGGGGAAAACAGAATGTAGGGTCATTTTGATTCAAGTTCCATTCATTACAAAACAAAACTCAATCATGCCTTTAGTTGTGGCATTCTTTGATGGACTCCCATCTAAGTATTAACCAGGTCTGATTCTGCTGAAATTGATAATAGCTTTTGAAAGAAAATACAATGACATCAATGAATCACTGCTGTGTGTGTCAATACATTATTACATAAAATAAGTTATTTTATACATGTCTATATGCCAATTACTGTATATTCCTTGAATTGTTTATTCAATGATATCATGAGGATGTTATGTCATGTTATGTTATGTTATATAGTCATTATAACTGAGGTCATTCACCATTGAGTTTGAGATTGTCTCTGCCTGAGACAGGCAACAATTTCATTCTTTTTTTTAGTGATGCCCTTTATTAGAATGTATATTCACCTATACCCATATAAGTGTATGTCTCCCACTTACATTTATAAGGAAAAAAAGATACAGTAATGGATAGAACTGGACATGCTATCTTTTATTTACAAGGTAAGAGTTTCCCTTTCCAGTCATGTCTAGGGGGCAATGCTCACCACCATTTCCTAGTTGAGAGAGACAGCATTGTCTGAAGACACTTCCATGGTCACTGGCATTACTATACATCAAGGCACACAGAATGTTGTTATATCCCCACCAAAGTGGTACCTATTTCTCTACTTGTCTTTGCTTTCAAACTTCTAGGTTGGTAGGAGTTGGGGCAAAGAACGGGAACTCACCCAATCATGCAATGCTGAAATCTCGAACCCAGACTGTCAGTTTTCCAGCTGACAAGCTTTGCGCCTTTAACCACTAAGTCATTGCACTCTCTTACTTATTACTTGGGTATTCAACCTGGTGCTCTTTATCCAAAAGGAAAGATTTACCCACTAGAACCTCTTCTACTATGGAAGAGGTTAACCAACCATACAAGGGCTGATAAACTAAAGCTGAATTCAAGCATGTGAGAGTTTCTGTGTATAGATCAGGGGTGTCAAACTCATGTTGCAACAGCAGCATCACATAAATTATCATGACTTTTTTCCCCTTTGCTAAACCGGATGTGGACATGGCCAGTGCCAGTGCCTGACACATCTGGCCTTTGGGCCATGAGTTTGGCAGCCCTGGTATAGATGATTATAAGGTTAGTAATTAGGAAGCTGGCTTACTATACATAATGTAGCATTCTACCTGATGGGAAGATGGATGGTTTGAGAATCTTCCTGATTCCAGTCAAAGTACAGCTTGACTCAGGGACAAGGAATACTATGACTAGTTTCAGTTTATTCTTCATCTATTTCCCATGGGTAAAACATATTTGTAAAACCTCACAATTGGATTACTACAATATTCTTTATCTAGAACTACCCATAAGGTAAAAAGTTCCCCTCGCGCATATGTGCTAGTTGTTCCCAACTCTAGGGGGCAATGCTCATCTCTGTTTCAAAGCCGAAGAATCAGCACTGTCTGAAGACATCTGCATGGTCATGTGGCTGGCATCATTAAATGCCAAAGGCACACAGAGCACTATTACCTTCCCACCAAAGTTCTCCCTATTTTTCTACTTGCATTTTTACATGCTTTTGAATTGCTAGGTAGCCAGAAGCTGGAACAAGTAACAGGAACTCATTCTGTTACACGGTGCAAGGGATTCGAACCACTGAACTGCTCACTTTTCTGATCAACAAGCTCAGTGTCTTAGCCACCACGTCCTTACCCATAAACTTGTTTAAAAGCTGATGCAAAGCACATGTTCCTTTGCTAATTTAATTGCAAGTTTTAACTGCATTTAATTGTTCTTAAAGAACTACACAGGTTACTTGTGAGTTAGCAGGGCTAATTCAAGAAACTGATGTGAGTTTATAAAACCTTAAGTGGTTGAGGATCTGTGGTGTCCTGGAGCCTAATTATACTGTGCTGATGTACAAGAGCTGATTGTTAGATTTGCTAGAATTTTGTGAGCCAATTGAAAGCAGAACAGACTGTAACACCCAACACACTGTTCAGAGGTTTGGCAGTAAGGCAATGAAGCCAGCTGAACTAGTTGTTATATATTTATAAGCACACCACTGTTCAGAATCCAAATGTTTAAAAGACCACCTCCCAGAATATCACCCAGTCCTCCTCTTAGTTCTGCCAAGGGATCTCGCTCAGAGGGCAGCAGACAAAAGTGCTACAGAATCCTATTTGCAAGCACGAAAATCTCCCTCCATTAGTACTCAATGATCACATAGGTAAATCTACTCAAGGTTGATATGTTCTGAACCTGGCTCTTTAGATTTCCTCCAAATACAACAGCACCGCTACAATTAAATTAATCTACCTTGCTACTATTATCCTTTTTATTCCTTTCCTTTTTTTCTCGGCATTAACAGAGCCTGATCATTTGGATCTCAAGTAAGAATTCTGGATTGATTTGTCTGTTTGTTTGGAGAAAGGGTTGCTATACCAGATATTCTCACAATATATAAAACACAATTCTTTTGGGGGGCAACCATTCTCATAGCATATCTGTCACTAATCTGATTAGTTTCTTCCACATATTTATTGGGGCGACATTCTGCTACATGGCATCACTAATATCAACAGCACATACTCTGGGAAAAAATCTTATCAATTCAAAATTGCCTACCTTGCATATTGTAGATAATTCTGTGAAT